TCCGGCTGGTGGCTACTGATGATGATGATGGTGATGGTGGTGGTGGTGGTGGTGGTGGTGGTGGTTCTGGTGGCAAAATTAGTTTGCCTTAATCCCATAAAAGCGCTGCATGTTGTCCCTCCACCCGTTGCATGATGATGATAATGCTGCTGCTGGCCACTGGATAGAGAAACTAAAACCGAAACACTATTGCACTTGGAAAATTTCCATTTTCCATTTGGGGAATGAGAGGGCGAGTGTGTAAAACGCGAATACAAAATGAAAATGTTAATGGAAATGCCAACATCAAACAGCTGCGGCCTGCAATGCGAGATATATTCATAAATAGCAAAGCGAATTTCCCTCGTGTTTTTATTGCAAATATATATATGCATGTATATCCCTTCAATGGAAATCTGTTGTAAGCAATAATAAAGTAGTCTGGCATTCATAAAATTCAATCAGCAAAAGGGAGAGATTTATATTCCATACAGAATGAAATATAAAACTTGAGATATAGATTTAATTTTAAAATGACACAAGCTTGTCTACCTACAACTTCTTGAGAAATGATTCCCAGAACTTTTCATTTCGTATTTAATACAGTTTTCCTTGAGTGCAGCGAGGACTCTTTCGTAGGAAGAGCTACAAGAAATCCCTTTCCAATAATCAGGTTTTGCACTTTTCATGGAATTTAATCAGCTTTACTCGTCGAGAGCACTTAACTGGCTTGAGTCGTCAAAATTCGCTTAACGCTGTGCCAGGCATTAAAGTCTGTGTCAGCTGACTTTAACTATATTTTACGACCTGCTAGATATATGTATATCTATATATATATATAAACCCCTATATACCATCTATAACTGTCGAGCGGTGTGTCTGTGTCCGTGCATTTTTTACGTTCATTCTCCGGCATCTGCGGAAATTGTGAGGAAATGAAAATGGTTTAACTTTTCTTTCTTGTGTGCTTACTATTGCACTCTCTCTCGTTTTGCCTTTTTTCTTTGCTATTTTCCTTTTTTTGCGGCACCCAAATCCTTGACAGACAGGTGAAAAACGGGCAGGGAGGGTGGAAAATGCTCGGTTCATTCAGCCTCCCATTACTTGAGTCCGGGCTATTTATAGTTTCTCAGATGTTTGTGCAACTGCAATTCGTGCCGTATGAGTTTTATTTTACTTTTTTCATTTTAGAATTGCAGTGCGTTGAGTGAACCACCTTGACCCACTCTAATTGCAATTGCACCGCCTAATGTCGAGAGAGATATAGAAAAAAAGGCAACAGCAACAGCAAAAGCAGCAATCAGTGGAGGCACTTAAACGCCCAATTGGATATTGAGACTTTCCGATTAAATTTTCATCGCCAACGCGATTTGAGGGAACCAAACCTTTATTAGTTTCAAATATTTATTTGTTCCGCTGTTGGGTGGCCGCAGGCCAAGTTGAATATTAATGAACTTAATTGAAAAAGTTTGCCAGAACAGGAGAGAACAATATCCTTCCTACCTTTCCCCTCTTTTTCGGCCGAAAATTAATTTTCAAATTAGGGCAAATAAAATGCTGTTGAAGTTCGAGGGAACCAACCCCCAAAGGCGCAGGCCTTGTCTCAATATGCAATTTACATAATTACGCATATTTGATGGAAACTTATAAATATTTATGTGCTGATGCTCAAAAATTAAGTTGTTTGCGATTCTCTAGGCGAAAAATGAACAAGAACCGTGGGGGTTTCATCGGATAGATAATGGAGAAGGAATTTAAAAGTAAATAAGCCTGCAAATAAATTGTTCCTTTTAATATATAACATCGTACATTTTTCCTTTTTAATATGTAATGTGGGAAAAGCTTAGATTAGACTTATTACAAATTATAATTTAAGAGAAACCAAGGGGTTTACCTTTGAAATGAATACTTAAGCACAACGTTCTGGGGAGTTCTGTGGAGTTTTCGTCACCAAACTCTCTGGTATCTCAGTTAAGAATATCAAAACCATATATAATATAAAGATATTTGCCTTAGACAAAGGCAATATTTGCTGCTTTGTTGCCCAAGCTGTTGAACCTGATTCACTTTTAGAAGTTTCATCAGCTTCTCTTATACTGAAACAATGCCGCTATCGCCGCTATATGTGCTCTGCGCTTCAAGAATTTAATCGGAATAAGATTGCTGGCGAGCGAAGATCAACTCGAAGCGGCTAAAAAGTGATTGAAAAGTGCTGCCTAAAGAAGAATATATATATAATATATATATATATATTGTGTATATTTCAGTTTGTGATCTCAGATGTGTGGCCGCCGTCGTGGTCATCGCTGTGGAGGCGGAGGTCCTCATGGCCACGGTCATGGCGGACACGGACACGGACATGGACATGGACATGGACACGGGCATGGACATGGACATGGACACGGGCATGGACATGGACATGGTGGCTGTCCTCCGCCTCCACCTCCTCACTTGCCAGGAGGATGCCATTGCCATCATCCTCCACCTCCTCCAGGTGGCATAGAATGGTGGCAGGGTCATCACCCTCCACCACCGCCACCTCCATACTATCCTCCACCAGCTGGCGGCTGCTCTGGCGGTGGGTTTGGCTATCATTGGAGCGTGTGTCCCCCTAACTGTGGACACCATCACCAGGGCGGTGGTAATCCACCACCTCAAGGTGGAACATCCACTACAAATCCTTGTCCCGATCCTGGACAATCTGGTGGCCAAAAGCCAGGTTACCCAATCATTGATCTTAACGCTCGTAAATAACTCTTTCTCTATCTTTTTACTTTGTCCTTTTGTTTTCCTTAACTGTAATTCTAAACTGAATAAAAAAACAAAATGCAATTAAGATTGCCATCAATTTTCATATCAGTTCGAAATGGAATGATAAGGTTCCTATATTTATTCTTTAATTTATGTATTACGAAGTAGAGATGAAATGAAAATAAATAATAACGCAATTTATTTTCCTGCGATGACTATATAAACATATTTTGTATTTTTATACCCTTCATGGTATTTTGATTCTAGTAAGTGAAGTAACCATTTCCAACCCTATATACCATATATATTCTTGATCAGCATTATCAGCCGAGACTTACTAGTCATGTTTGGCAGAAAAAAATTTTACTCAGTTTTTTGAAAATTTTATAAGGGGTTACATCGTTAAAATTTTTAAAAATCTAAAAAATGGTAATTTTTTAACATTTTAAACAGATTATGCAGATTTATTATCCTAATGAAACCTAGCATAGAGCAGCTTTCCGAATTGAAATTAATTTATTTTTGGCTTAGTTATGAGTTTTTTAATTTTTGACTTAAAAAAAAATTTGTCATTTGAAGCTTAGTTATGATTGGTTTCCGATTCGATCCTTTAATTTAAATGCTAAACTTGCTTTTTAACTGGTACTACTTATCTTTATAAATTTTTAAACTATTCTCCCTTAGGACACACATGGCGTATACTTAATTTAGGTGTTTTCACGTTAAGTATACGCCTTGTATGCAAGACTTTTCTTAAATCGAAGAATATTTTTTTACACTTTCAGGGTATTTTAATTGTAGTCAGAAGCTTTTAAACCAGTGAAGGAGTCATTTCCGACCCTATAAATCTTATATATTCTTGATCAGCATCAAGAGCCGAGTCTTTCTAGATATGTTTGGCAGAAAAAAAAGTTTACTCAATTTTTTGAAAATTTTATAAGGGGTTACATCGTTAAAATTTTCAAAAATCGAAATTTTTTAGATATTTTAAAATGTTAAATTTAGTATGCAGTTTTTTTAACCTAATAAAAACTAGCATAGAACAGCTTTCCGAACTGAAATTAATGCATTTTTGAGTAAGTTATGATAGATTGCACTTTCAAACCCATGATAATATGGTTAACAGGAAGGGTATACAAACTTCGGTTTCCCGGAGTTAGCTTCCTGTCTTGTTAAGATAAATAAATAAAAATGAATCAATGTTTGCAAATAAATATAGAGTACAAATTTAGTCATGAATATAATTAATTAAATGTGTCGCACATTTATTTTCTTGATAGCCAGAGCATTAAGTTATTCACTTGGTATTCACCTGTCTCTATCAGTCTCATTCAAATAAATAATACATTTATCGGTTCTCAGTAAAAGTGTTTGGGTAAGCACGTTTTTGAATGCATCATCTGATGTGACCCTCGTGTAGAACTCTTACGACGAAATTGACAAAGACAATGCCACCGAAATCAATTTCTATAAAAGTAAAGAAACCCAAGAGGAAAGTGAATTACTCGTAAATTATATTTGTTGCCGCCTCGTTTCGTTTCGTCTTTATTTTATTTTTGGGTAAAGCAAATATTTAACATGAATCTCACGTCTGTCGTATTCGACGAACGACCCAACCAGACCAAAATCTCAAATTGTGCAACGTTGAATCATGAGTTGAGTCGAGTCGAGTTGAGTTGAAATGAGTTGACTGATGGGCGGCAACAACGACGACGACGACGACGTCAGCGACAATAATGACATCGCGCGGCAGGTGGAAGGTGGAAAGTGGAAGGTTCTGGCATGTAGCGGGGGTAATTGCCAACTAACTGACCGATGGCCAGCAGGCGACCGGGTCGAAACCCACTGCTCGGCCATATTGCATCTGCCCCTGACACCTGGGATGGCGAATTAAGCTGCACTCTGAACACATTTTTCGGGTGTTGGATTGCTGTCCAAAGGAGGGAGAGGTGGGAGCGATGTGGAGAGAAAAGCTTTGGATTTGACATTTTCCATTTCCATTGAAATCACTGGAGGAACTGGAGGAAAATTATTTCTGATACTTTTCGGGGAAACACGGAGCGGTTTTTGCTTTAAGTATTTGGGTTTTAAAAGCAATATCTCTCTGTAGTATATATTTTCCCTATTAAAACTTAATAAATACATCAAATATGAAACACTCAAGGGAGTTTATATTAATCATTAAATGAACTATGCACTCTTTTATATTGTAAAATCTCAAGCTCTAAATCCTTTGAAACTCATCGACTTTTCCCATTATATTTTTTCAGCACAAATATGTCGAGCGATTCGAGTCGAAGGATCCAGGTCCCTGAGAAGCTAAAGGAGGTCCTGCTGCAATTCTCGATTGCCTTTCTGGTGGAACAGCCGCCGGATGTGATCGACTATGCCGTGGAGTACTTTAGCAAGCTGCAGGCCGAGCGTCCCAGTGTGACCACCACGGATCAGAGTACCGATGACCAGCAGAGCATCAACTCACAAGAAGCCGATGGTGAGTGGAGTTCCTACGACACTTTAAGATATCCTTTAGTGCCCTGTTCCTTGGCGTGTCCTGTGAACTTCTTTCTTGGGTACTTAAAGCTCCTTCTTGGTTTTGCAATTGCCACTGCGTGTTATAGAACTCGTTGCCTCAGATATTTTTAGTTTCCATTCCCTTGCTTTGATCCAAGTCTTACGTTATTTCCGTCATGCAATTCGCTCTGCGTCTTTCTCTCTGACGTCAGCAAATGTCAGTTTAGGTCGCAAATATAGAAAATCTGCCACTGGCGAATTCCCCCGACAAACCGAATCAAATTTTTGTGGCTATGAGTAAGTCGGGGGAAATCAAGATTAAGATTTATTTGACCGGCAGAAATGAAATGCATTTATTCTTGACTTAAATTTGAATTTGTTTTAATAGAAGAATGAATAGGAAAAGGTTTAGGCGTATATTAGGATAAGATGTACTTTTGGTTTAAATTAGTCTCGAATAATAAGTTAAAATACATGAAAGAAAGAATGTTTATTAAGTTGCTAAATGAATCCCAAGCTCTGGATTATGTGGAAAGATGAGGGAAATGATGATTTATTTGGCCCTAACAGAAATTGAAAACTTTTCTCTCGTAAAGTGGATGATTTTGCCATCCCTCAGCTTCACGTTGTTTGTATCTCGGCTTATGGCACGTGTTCAGTCAGATAATTAGCTCAGGCCACGCATATGGCCATAAATCTTTGGCTCTTGGCTCCCACTACGGCGAGCATACAAAATAGCAAATTAAATAATGATGGTGATGAAGCTCTGGCCGCGTTCAATTTGTTTTCTGCTCCATCTGTCCCTCAACTACCCCTCAGTATTTCTCATTTAGACATCTCCGTCCGGGTGTGTGTGGGAGGGGCTTTTGTTCACAGCTTCCTTTTGCGTGTTTATCTTCCGGTTAATCAAACACGCAGTCCTCGAGGGGATCGGGATGGGCAGGACTGAGGATGATGAGTATGGAAATGGGAGTGAGTGAGGGGTGAGGACTATGTGTATGGGGTTGCCATGTCAAGTGGCCAGGCAAACTGCCAGGGGAAACTGCTGCTCCTGTCATTAAAAATCTATTAATTGTGCACACAGTAGCCCCCGAAGAGCTGAGCCAACATGAATGCAGCTGCCAATCCTTTCGCCGTTTGAACAACAGCGTCCACTTACAGTCAGACTTGTGTCTCTCTCAGCCTGGCAATCTGGTCCTTATATGGAATTTAATTTAAATCTGAGCTTATCTGAGGGCTAGAAATAATATTGGCACGATTAAGTAGAGTATATTGTAGAAATTGAATAGGAAATTCAATATAATATTATGTAAGCTTAAAGGAACTCAATTAGAGTGCTTTTTTCTTCAGATGTATGATACTTATTTGGCATTATACTTATAAAACGAGGTTCTAAAGTGTTCCAAAAACTTCTCTTCTCTAGAAAATAGTTTAATAAAATAAATATCAAGTACAATTCCGTGAACTACCAAGTAAAGAATGTAATATATGTTAGCAGTTGTAGCCTTTAGACTGTCACTAGTTTGTATTCGAGTTAGGTATACTCGTAAAACTGAAAGTTTTAGCTGCAGCAGAGGAAGTTTAAGTGCATGGTGTTTAATATATACAAAGATATATTATATATATATTGTATAGTTTTGTCTGGTCTGAACATTGTCTCACTATTAACCCTATGCTGTGATGGTCAATTGCCGCTGCTGGCTGCTGTTGTTGTTCAGTGAAGCCAGCTTAATCGCTTCAGGCTCCCCAAAACTCAACTGGAGCGAAAGTGACACGCAAATAGCTCCTGGTCACGCCCACCGGACCAACGCCCTACCACAATTTCCACCCAGTTTTACCACATTTTTCCATGAGTTCACTCCCGCCTCGCGGTTCATCGATCGGTGTCTGTATTTTTATGCTTTGATGTCTATTTGTGGTTGCTTGTAAATCCAGTTGAAAAGTTTTTTGTGTTACGTGAGGCTTTAAGGGTTTATATTGGAGGGGAAAGCTGAAACAAAAAGGGATGTGAAAATATTCGGGAAACAAAACCCATATACAGGTTAAATTGGAAATTCAATTGGTTTTAAAGGTTACCCTTTCTCTTAGTAAGAGTTCTTTTTATTCTAACCCTTGTTGGAATCTTAATTAAATACCTGCAAGTGTTTTATGGGTTTCTCTTAATATTGTCCTGGCGACAGGAGCGTGTGACATTAAATATCGCGCATACGCCGCATAGGCCTTTGCGGCTTAATAAGGTGTGCGCTTTTGCGGAGGCGATGGCGTTGGCCAAAGGTATGTTCTGACCAGGCCAGCATTTCTTTCTTATTTTTTGTAACGCTCAACATGTTGGCCACAGAATGGACAAAATGAGGGAAATCTGGGAACAGGTGCACAGAAAAAAAAGTATATAAAAGAAATAGGTTTCGATTTTCACCTAATAAAAGATAATGAAATATGATATAGTGAATATAAATATCTTACAGATAATATCTATTTTAACATTTGAAAGTTAAAAATTCAAATAATATAGTTTAAAAATACTGTTTTTTGTTCAGTAATATATATATTTTTTAATAATTTCCATGTACAAGAGAGGTGGGGTTATGTTCTGCAGGACCTGGTCCAATGGAGCATGCTGATGAACAGCTCTATAGCTCTGTAGCTCAGCTCAGCCCAGGCGTCCGCTTCATCGGGCACACAGGGCGCATGACACGCCCCGGTTTGGCGGTTGGCTGGGCCGGGCTTTGTGGAAAATGCTCCAAGAGGGGGGGAGGGGAGAGGGGGATGTGGGTTACATTTCAACATTATTGACATGCCAGCGGCGTTTGTGGCAGGACTCTAGGCCCGCTTGTTGGGGCAAACCTGAACGGAAATGCCAGTCGCTTCAGCCACCAGCAGCAGCAGCTGCTGTCTCTCTTGCTTCCTCTGAACAGCAGCCATCCTCCTGTTGCGCTTAATAATAATGTGTATATGAATGCTGATGGGGAAAAGCTGAGGGAATGCTCATGTTAATCAAGACAAAGCAAAGTGTGGCCTGCTATTTATAAAAAGAACAGTGAAAGAAATGGAGAGTAAATTGGTAAAGTAATTAGGTAAATATGTTACCTACTGAGGTCTTAGTTCTAGCCTGCTTCTTGGTTTCTTTTCAAGATATTTCTCGTACCTTTAGAATATATTATTATGTAGATTCTAATTTTTGCAAGTGTATGGACCAACAAAGCGACAGACAGCTAGCAAACACATACACAAGCACACATGGTAGGGAGCCGTATAAATAGACAACCGACAACCACTGGACCGCTTGAGTGGCGTGTTGTGCTGCCTACTTACAGGCACTATTTCCGCCTTGGTTTGACGTTTGCCTGACATCACAGCGACTCCAGCGGAAGAGGAGATGGAGGAGCTGAAGGGGCAGGAGCAGACTGGCTATGATGCTGCGCCTCCTGCGGCATTGAAACCATTGGCACTTTCAGTCGCTCGGAGGACGTCATCACGACAACACGCACATATCAAACGCGTCTTTCAGCCAGCTTGTCAGCCAGTTTGTTAGCCAGTTGTCCATCCACCCATCCATCCATCTATCTATCCTTCCATCCATTCAGTCAGTCAGTCAGTCAGTCATTCGTGCTGACACCGACAATGCCAGAAGTTGTCGTTCCATTTAATAGTATCTCCCGATCTCGTTGCCGTCACTCGCAGTTGCAATTGCAGTCGCAGTCGCAGTCGTCCTCGTTGCCGTTGTCCCCAACACTCTGCTAATGAAATTAATGCAGTCAACTTTTTATTTGCAATTCCTAATTGAATTCACCAGCTTATTTGCATCAGTGTGTGCCAGTCGGTGTGTGTGTTCTTGGTGTGTTTCTAAAGCAAGCAACTTAGTTAATTGAAATACTTTGAGTGCATCCGTTGCAAGCGATATCCAAAGTTTTGGTTAACAAACATTAAATCTTTGCCAGTTTCAATTTCATTTAAAAAAGGATTTACGTTTGGTGAATTTTTGGGAAGGAACTGAAAGCATTTCTACAAATGAATATACTTTTTAAAGACTAAAATAAATTTGAAAGCATAGTTACTAACCTTGGCTGCAAGTACCCAATTAGTTTTTTAAAGTTTTATCCTTGGGATACTGATATTTAATTACAATTTCTAAGCTTTTCATATAGAAAAGCCTTAGTGTCAATTAGATTTTCAAAATAAAATCAAATCCACGAGATTATTGAATTATAAAATATTCATAAAAAAGAGCTCCTCCATGTTCGTATCCTAATTACATTTTTTTGGGGAATTATTTATAAGAAATTAAACAAACTCTTCCCCCAAATAATAATTATATTTTGCAATTGTTTCTGCCAGTAAACATCTAGATAATGAGAAAAGCAAGACGTTTTTGTCTAAATAATTTGGTAGATATCCATTTCCATTTTCCACAGACTGCATAAATCTGTCTGATTGATGGAAATCTAAAATCTAAAATCGGTTTCTGCTGTGTCTGGTATTTCAAATGCCAAAGGCGCGATTTCAAATCAAAAATCTCTACGAACATTGGCCATTGCCTCGTTGCAATAAAAACCAGAGCAGAGAGCAGATTTCTGTTCAAGTTTCTGGACGTGGGCGGCTTTTCTGCTCCTGCTCCTCACACAATGCAAACAGAAGGCTCTCTTTATACACATATATAGTATAAATACTTGGAAAATACAATATATAGAGACGTGTGCACTTTGCCATTTTTGTGTCGGCGGGAAATTGCAGGAAAAATGCAGAGAAAATCCACAGTGCGTGCCTGGCTGTCTGTGACTGTAATTGCATCATTAGGTTGACACTCTTAACTGGTAACTTGACACGGCTGCGACAACGAGTGCGAAAAATAGAAAAAATTCGACCGAAATCGTATATAGAAAAAAACACAAATCAGTGCTATATACATAGATATATTTATATCTATAGAACGTGTATATAAACAATCTAGATGCTTGACTGACTTGCTGAAGGCTTCGCCAAACATTCGAGTGCATAAATATTTATTACGCATACGCAGCGTGTGACGGGAAAGCAAAGCTCAGTGTGTCTCTGTGCTGGATTATTTTGTGTCTCCGACAACAGCACTCACCTTGAGTTACATATACACTCGAACACTCGAACACTCGAACAGTCGAACAGTGGAACAGTCAAACACCCCGAACACCCCTCAAAATATCACTATACATATTTTTTGTTGTTTCTAGTTGTGTTTTTAACGTGTTCATGCCTAAACTGGTTCCTCCGGCCTGTCGTTGCAACCGATTCGAAATCGTAACTAAATTCGGAAACACACACGCACCAAAAAAAAGTAATTGCCGCAACTGCTGCAATTGAAAATGTCCACTCAGGTGTCTGGTAATTTATTGGCCGGTAAGCTCGAGCGAAACACTTGAATTTCGTTGACCAAAACAACATAACATATGAAACATGCACACTTAAGGTGTGCTGCTGTGTTTTTCGGTTTGAATGTATAATCATAGCAATTGATTTCGGTGGTCATGTGAAACCGAATCAACAACAAACATTTAAATATTGACAAAAGTATAAGGTGGAGAAATTAGTTTAAATATTTAGGGGAAACAGAACAGGAAGCGGAATTACATGCATAAGACATATGTTCTCGGAGTGTGTGTTCTCTGATTGTCCCGCATGTTGGACAAATATTCGTATATGGAAATCTGTGGCATTTATGCACTTCTAATTGTCGGAAACGACAATCTAAGAGATGGATCTGTGAGATGCTCTCAGGGCAAAACAGGGGACACTGAAAGAAAGTAAAGAATTGTATACACTTTGGTTAAGAAATGAGGAAAAATGTTATGTCTCTGTGGGTTATTTATACATTTATGGAGAGAACGAAATAAGGTTTGATGAAACAAACTTGTTAAAGATTTTAAGACCCTTTCAAGCTCATATCTCTGCCAGTTTTTTTCCCACAGTGTTCTCGAACTCAATAGCTGAGTGAAAAATTTGTGTACATGCTTGTCACACAGAGTTGGACGTACTTGGAAGCGAATTCCATGGGATTATTCCCGTATGTGATATGTGAGCTGTGGCTGCTGCTCTGCAGTGTTTCATCTGAAATTGCAATTGCGGCCCAGCAGGAGATGCTGAGGCCAGAGCAGCAAATTCCAGCCAGAGAGTGTAGTTGGGGTATATTCGGGTAACCAAACCCAATGATGATGATGTTGATGAACTTGATTTGGCTTTGGCAATGTCCGAGAAGGAGACTTATTGGGAAATCCCTGTTCTGACGCCTGATTTATGGTTTCCTTGATTTTCACCCACAGCCGAACCGCCCGTGATCCAGGGCACGCGCCGCAAATCAGTTTTCGCCGAAGCCTACGATCCGGAGGCGGATGACGATGATGATGGTGCCACTGCCGTGTTCCCCAAGACAGATGAGCAGCGTGCCCGACTGGTGGAGTCGGTGAAGAATGTTCTACTCTTCCGATCCCTCGACAAGGAGCAGGTAAGCTAAAATCCCCTGACAAATAAATCATAAGTACTAGAAAGGGAAGTGGAAGTGGAAGCTGGAACAGGAACAGGAACAGGAGCTGGAGCTGAGGCAGCACACACGCATCAGAGTTTAACCCGAACAAGCGTCTGCCTGCGGCTTCCCTTCCCTCTTTTTCGGTGTGGGATTATCCCTCCGTGGGCTTCCATGATTCCCCTTTCCACTCCCCTCGGAATCCATTCATCCCTTTTGTAATCGATTTGTTTTTGCAGATGAACCAGGTCCTGGATGCCATGTTCGAGCGAAAGGTTCAGCCTTTGGACTACATCATCCGCCAGGGCGACGATGGCGATAACTTTTACGTTATTGAATCGTAAGTAAAACAAAACAAATTTCCAATCAAACTCGATGAATAATGCACATCTTTGGAAGAGCCGAAAGTTAAGTCTGAGTTGAGGGAAGTTTTCTTGATTTCGTAATAAATTAGCATTGAGTGTTGGCTTACGTTTGTTCCTGTATGTTCTTTCGGGTATAAGAAGAGGTTATGTTAAAGGAAATTATGCTTAGTTTATTAAACAAAGAAAAATAGGATTAAGTGCTTAGGGTTATTTTCTTTAAAGTTTGTAACTAGATCTTTATTTGAGGTATATTTATAATTTATTATCTGTTAAGGCAACTCTTTTACGTATCTGTTTCATGTGTTTGTCCAACTTTAAACAATCATCAAATTAAGTTGCCTCTTTCCCACTTTAAATGCCATATTTTTTATACATTTAAAATCAAAGAAAACTAAAAAACAAAGACAAACTTAAATGCCGTATATTTTCACGATTTCTTTCGAGTAAAAGCAAAGAATTATTGCCGCTTCATCACTCCTTCACGCCTTCTGGCTCATTTATTTATTTGCGAGACTTAATTAATGGGTATTTGAATTGGCATTTGTTTTTGATATGGCAATTAATTGGCATTTACATTTTGATGAGCGCCATGCACTGCACCGCATTAATTATAAATTGCATTCAATTAAAGTGAATTTTTCTCGCTCTCATCGCTGTTTCACTCCTTTTTCCCCAATCCCACAGAGGTGTCTACAAAGTCTATATCGATGACAACCACATCAACACCTACACTCACACCGGACTCTTTGGCGAATTAGCGCTGCTGTACAACATGCCCAGGTATGTGGCTCTCTCTCTACCTTTCCTATATTTGATCGATTCATTATGCCAAATTTTCCGCGCTGTCTGCGCCACAATTACAACGTGCTAATCGGATGTATACATAGACGTTGAAATTTAAATCTCATTTAAATATCTATATATCTTACCATGTAGAGCGGCCACCGTGCAGGCGGAAACGACTGGTCTACTTTGGGCCATGGATCGCCAGACCTTCCGCCGCATCCTGTTGAAGTCGGCCTTCAGGAAGCGGAAAATGTACGAGGAGCTGTTGAACAGCGTGCCCATGCTGAAGGCCTTGCAGGTGGGTGTCTATCTCCTTCTCTGCCTGGAATCGATATATATACTATCTATATATATGTACACATTTATGTAACGAACTCCATATGCCTTGCAGAACTACGAACGCATGAATCTGGCGGATGCTTTGGTTTCAAAGAGCTACGAAAATGGCGAACGCATCATCAAGCAGGGTAAGTAGATACAGTGGAAAACAGTGGACTGGTAGCCTTTCTTGAAGCCAGGAATCAAGGCTGGTCTTCCTGCATTCCCTTTGGAATTTTCTCTCTAAAAAGCTTCGATTTTTCTTTCATTTCCCCCAGGTGATGCCGCCGATGGCATGTACTTTATCGAGGAGGGCACGGTCTCCGTGCGCATGGACCAGGACGATGCCGAGGTGGAGATCTCCCAGCTGGGCAAGGGCCAGTACTTTGGCGAACTGGCGCTGGTCACACATCGGCCAAGGGCCGCCTCCGTCTACGCCACGGGCGGCATTGTGAAGCTAGCATGTGAGTGTCCTGCCTGGAGTGAGGGTCTGGCGCGGAATGGCTACACGGAAAGCATTTCAGCCGATTCCTTCCAGCTCCCAGTTACCATACTCCCGCTTGGCCTAATCCCTAATGCTTTTGTTTATTTATTCTTTGTTTTCTGTACCTCGTCCACACGTATGTGTTGTGTGTGTGTGCTGTGTTGTCTCGTATTGTCTCGTGTGTGTGTGTGTATCTGTATCTGTATCTGCATCTGCATCCTTATCCGTAGTCCTGGACGTTGTGTGCTTCGAACGCCTCATGGGAAAGTGCAGTGGGGGCATTCAGCGCAGCATAAGCGATTATCGCTATTTGGAACAGGATCTGCGCGAATACTTTGACAACCTGCAACTGAATTAGTTAGGCGTAGCAGTAGTTTTAGTAGTCTATAGTCCTCGTAGAAGTTGGCCGTAGTTTAAGCCCAATTTAAAGAACTATCTTTGGCTGAGAGGTATTCCTGTATGATTTGTAAATTTATTGTGAGGTTTCTCTTAAGTTTTTCCCCATGGAAAAATGTATTTATACCTTGCTTAATATCTTGAATTTAATAAGAGGAGGAAGTTTACCTTAATATGATTTAAATTTTTTATACCCTTCCTAAGAATTATAATCCTATAACTGTGTGAAGGATTAATTACCCTGCTTAAAACTAGCATAGAACATTTTTCCAAATTGAAATTAATGCTTTTTTGGCTTAGTTATGAGTTGTTTAACATTGATTTGTACTATAAAAATATCTATAAATATTGGATTGGATCTTAAAAATTAGTTGCTAAAGTTGCTTTTTAACTGGATCTACTTTTTATATTTGTAAACTGTTCTCCCTTAAGACACACATGGCGTATACTTAATTTAGGTGTTTTCACGTTAAGTATACGCCATTTATGCTCGTCTTTCTTGTGTATAAGAATTTAAAACAGGTGACCAACTCAGCTAATAATAAAATTCGTTAGATGGCTTCTGTAGATTTGTAGATTTTATACTTAAATAAACCTTTATACTCCGTCCAGTCCTAGACACCGAAGCCTTTGAACGCATCCTGGGCTACCTGACCGATATCCTTAAGCGCAATGTGGTGATCTATGAGCAAATGTACACCGATATGGCCCGTCGCAACACGAATTTGTGAAATCGCTATATTTTAATAGGTTTTCTTTTGAAATTCTCAAATGTATCAAGCAAAAATTTCGGTTTCCTAACAAAAAAAATCATTTTTAAATGCATAATTTAAAAGTAAAAAAAAATTCAAGTGGATTTATAACTTGGTTTTATTCTGACACACACACACACACACACACCTCAAGCATATGTGGCAAGGGGGAAATCCCGCACCTTTTTACCCCCCAAAAAGAAAACACACATAGGGCACAAGAAATGTCTGAAGCTGACACAGGCATCCAGGGGTCTATTGGATCGGTAAGAGGATTAAGTAGAAGATATGTAGAGGGGCCTGTGGTTATCAATCAAGAATCAAGAGGAATGCTGTCACTTAACCTGGTTTTAATTAAGAAGTACTAAAACCTACTCCCAGAAATCCCTCTCCATCTACCTACCAGCATGCACTATATGTTGCCAGTTTTTCTTCCTTATTCAAAAATAAAACTAACTCTTTGATTCTTTTGCCCCCATTTAGTCCTGGATGTGAAGGCGTTTGAGCGTTTGCTGGGTCCCTGCATGGATATTATGAAGCGCAACATTGATGACTACGAGTCACAGTTGGTAAAGATATTCGGCAGCAAAAACAATATCACCGATACACGATAAAAAGTCTGAACAACCAACAACAAGAACCACCATCAACAACAGCTACAACAACAGCTACAACAACAGCTACAACAACAACAACAACAAACAGCAACTGAAACCTGAAGAGAATCGGTCACTTGCAGGCTTCTTAGGATCTTATTTTTTTCGTAACCATGTTTCTTTCAAATTGAGCAATACAACAACAGACACAGGCACAGGATAACAGACAGAAACAGAAACAGAAACATCCTTTAACATGGCACAAATACCAAACAAACATGTACACAATGGACACAAGAATCATTTAAACCTAATCATGAATATTTGATAATTGAAATTAATCCATAATACTACCATGATAACGATAATAACGATGATAGCGATGATAATGATAATGATAATGATAACGATGATGATTATGATTATGATAACTGTTGATCATGTTGATGAGAAGTAGCTATAGCTTTGCCATATTTCCATAGCAAAGCGAGGCGACGAGTTAAGAATTGTATTGTATGTATTTAGCAATTGTAATTTGTAATGTATTTAATTGGGCAAAAATGAATTCAACTGCGGCAATCAGCGGCATGAAACAAACAAGAAAAACAAAAACAAATAACGATTGGCTCAACCGGAATGTTAAAAATACTAATTTAAGCTTTGTTTATTCATATACAACCTTTTTTTGTTATCCATTGATTTATTCATAATTTAGAAAATAACGCAAACACTTGTTTCATTGGCTGCTAATTAAATGATAAGCAAACGAGTTAAGCAAATTATATCAACTAAGAGCAAATTGAACACACACCACAAACACACACACACACCCTCTCTCTAAACACACCACTCGCACACACATCAGCAAGAATGAAATTTACTTATCTGTACAGCCCAAAGTCCCTGAAATTTAATTCAAATTCAAGTGTAATATGTATGTACTAGTCTAGGAACAGGTGCGTGCTCCAGCCATTTAGCCATCGGAGAGGAGAGGAGTGGAGTGAATGATATCAGATTTGGCCCAAGCCCGACTCGAAAGCGATCTCAAAAGCGAGTATTTGTTATATTTGTTATTCGGTTCTTCTCGGTGTTAGGAAGCATAGGAGAAATTAAAAGTACCAGGAAGTGAATGCTAAAGGCACAATCAATATGTTGCATGGGATCAACTTAGAAAACTTTGAGAAAAACTAGCGAAAAATACGAAATTTAGCAGTGGAGAGGTAGAAGCGAATAGCGAGTAGCGAGCTTGAGATTCGAATTGAGAGTGAAAGTTGTATGCACCCGGGTGACATTTGCTGGGATCTTGTATCTTGATCGCTTTTAGCATTACGAATGTATCTTTTATTTTCGGGCCATAGCGAATCTTGTTAGGTGAACGAATCAAAGCAATATCGACGGCCTAGTAAATGTGTACTTAGTATATTCCCGTTTTCGTTGCTGTTCAATATACCTACCTGTGTGTACTACCCTATATACCAATATCTCTATTTATATAACTGAATGAGCTTAAACTATAAACCTAAACCTATACCTAAACGACTCCAAATACTTTACTACCCAATGTTTTGAACAGAAAACACACAAGAAAAAAGAAACAAAAACAAAGCGTAACTAAACAAATCTTAGAAGGATAATCAATCAACGTGCATGTTTAGGGTATATATAATATTATAAAATTAAAACAATTCAACTGGCATACCAACAGTCGACAGGTGTTCAAAGCTAAAAGAAACTACATATAATATAGAAACCGAAAAATATCATATGTGTAATTGCTACAAGTCGTTCTAATTGTCAGCAAGGCAAGGAGGAATAATAAATCTAAAGTATATGAAAGTATGTTTTTAATCTTAATTGGTGTCTAGTCTATGTTCAAGACTTTAAAGCAAACAAATTCTTGAAAATTTTCGAAAAGGAAAACAAAACAAATCATGAGGAAGGTGGATTCAAGAGCATAAATAATAATAACTAACATATATATCAAAACGAGTAAAGTTCTAGCAATTAATTAAGGTGCAGAAAGTGCTGGCCATTTTCTTCCCCATACCAACTACAACAATACGCACACACATGAGCCAATACACACACAACCACAACAAAGGACACTTACACACAAACACACGCCATACCGAATATTTTCATCAAGCAAAGCTCAAAAAAATAAAAATCGTTGAAAGAATCACTGAAAAACGCGCAAATATATTTCAAATTAACGTCACAGAGAAAGAATAAAAGTAAATGAAACAAAAAAATAGTAAAACCTATTCGTATTTTAACTGTTGTGTTGTAATTATAATGCATAAAGCGTATTTAATTATGTATGTGTAACAAAAAAATAAAAAAATACAAACGAAAAGAAAAAAAGCAAACAAAAAGCGTATGTATTAATACATAAAATATTTGAAAACAAAAACAAAAAAATTAAAAGTGTAGACACTGAAAAAAGGAAACAAAATCTTTATTAAACCTAAGCGCCGAAGAAGCTGCATAAATAAATAAAAAATAAGAATAAATGCTAATAAAATCGACAGTTTCCTGCTTTCGCCATTAACACAAATATTTTTATTAATTATTTTCTCCTATGTTCATTTACCGATGCCAAAACACATTGATTTATATAATCAGCAGCTAATATGTAGAATGGCAAGGAAAGTTTATTTATAAGACCGATGCGATGACGATTGATTATTAAAATATTGAAGAAGCATTCAACTAACTTCATATTAAGATGTCCTTGTTATGTCGCAGAGCAAATTAATGCAAATAAAAGTGGAAAGAAATAACAAGAAAAAGCAAACATGACGAATGAAATACAAGTTTAATAAATGCGATAAAACAAAATGAAAGTTTATTTATTTTATGCGAGGGAGGTTTTTTTTAAGCCTAGAGATCCTCCTTTCTTGATCATACCCTTCTGGCCATCCATCAAAATTATCAAATTATTATTATCCTCCTCTTTGTGGATAACATCCCTATGTTTGATTTTCCTAATCGTTATTGCTGTAAAATTGGTTTTTGTTGGCAAAGATCGAGTTCCAAATTTTGCGTTTGGCCACCACAAATTTTGTCTGATGCACCAGGCGAACATAAATCAGCAGGAGGTAGACGATATAACAGTTTTTCTGTTATATTTAACCCGAGTCCTCAACCATGGTTTGTGTCCGCGCTAGCGTTATATAGTGTTATCGATAACGAATAATCGATCTATCACCACCACTAATCACACTAATTCCCCATCACTAATGCATTATGACTATTGAATTAGTAATTTTTATTCACTTATAAACGTAGCTCCAAATACACTTATAATTTTACGGTGTTTAATATATGTATTTATCTTTAAATGTATGTGTGTACGTGTATCGTTTATAATTATGTATATAGAAACTCATATCGGAGCCATTCTACCGACAATGCACGAATGATAAGTGTGTTTGTGGCGCGGATTGGGTCGCCAATTAAAGTGGTTTACAATCAGCTTCCCTCAACGATCCGTGGCCACGTGGGACGGGCTACACAGATGGTATCAAAAAGTGATTATTATTAATATTCTTAGATTGGATGTACTCGAATTCCTCTGTCGGCTGATTTTCCTAGCCAAATGGGGTGACTTTGTGGTGGTCGCCGCCAGGATGTGAATGTGATTTGTATGCTTGATCGGTTTTACAGGAAAAAATTCATTTAAAAAGTTTCTCGTTTTGTTGTTTGTTTTGTTTTGTTGGTTTTGTGTTGCCGTGTAAAACTAGAAATCTAACTGTAAAGATCATCGTCGCCATTGTCACCTGGCGAGTTAACTGGCATGTTGTTGCCAGACCCTGAGGTGTTGCCGGTTTGACCGGGGAATCTGAAAGACATACCAAATGATCAATAAGAAATCTGACCTAGAGAGTGCATCCGCATCGCTTCTCACCTGAAGTTCTGTCCGAAGCCGCGGGACTGTTGCAAAGTCTGGGCAAACATCTCGTATTTCCTGATGTCGTTGTCCGACACCGAGCGGCGGGCGAACTTCATCGCTTCCTCAAAGTGAGCGCTCGTGATCTCCGGCACCGGATCGTCCTCGTCCATCTGGGGAAAAATGGAAATATGATCATTTAGATATTCCTTTTGAAACCGAACTAAGTGCGTAATAACTTACGTCCATCGCCGAGTTGGGGTTCTCGGTGCGCTCTTTCTCCCGACGGATCTCGGCTTCGATGGCCTGCCGAATGGCCAGCTTGCAGGCCCGCTGGCAGATCTCGGTAAGATCAGCACCCGAGAAGCCCTGCGTCACCTTGGCGATGTAGGTGAGGTCCACCTCCTTGGCCAGCGGCGACTTGCGCAAGTTGGCCTTCAGGATTGCCTCACGCGACTTGTCGTCGGGCAGTGGGATGTAGATCAACTGATCCAAGCGGCCCGGACGCAGAATGGCCGGATCGATGATGTCCGGACGATTGGTGGCTCCAATGATGAACACGTTCTTCTTGGCACCCATGCCGTCCATCTCGGTCAGGATCTGGTTGATCACACGATCAGCGGCGCCTCCAGCGTCGCCCACATTGCCACCACGGGCCTTGGCAATCGAGTCCAGCTCGTCGAAGAAGAGCACACAAGGAGCTGCCGAGCGGGCCTTGTCGAAGATGTCGCGCACGTTGGCCTCGGACTCACCGAACCACATGGTCAGCAGCTCGGGTCCCTTCACCGAGATGAAGTTGGCCTGGCACTCGTTTGCGATGGCCTTGGCCAGCAGCGTCTTACCGCAACCGGGGGGTCCGTAGAACAGGACACCGCGGCTGGGCTGCATGCCGAACTTCAAGAACTTGTCCGGATGCTCCACCGGGTACTGCACCAGTTCCTGGAGTTCCTTCTTAACGCTCTCGAGGCCACCAATGTCCGTCCAGGTGGTGTTGGGCACCTCCACCACAGTCTCGCGCAGCGCCGACGGACTGGACTTGGTCATAGCGTAGCGGAAGTTCTCCATAGTCACGGCTAGGGAGGCCAGCACCTCGGCGTCGATCTTGTCATCCTCCAGATCGATGAGATCCATCTTCTCGCGGATTTGCTGAAGGGCAGCTTCCGAGCACAGCGAGGCCAAATCAGCGCCCACATGTCCATGGGTCTCAGCAGCAATCTGCTCCAGATCCACGTCTTCATGCAGCTTCATGTTCTTGGTGTGGATGCGGAGCACCTCCAGACGGCCGGTGGCATCGGGAATTCCGATATCAATCTCACGATCAAAACGTCCGAAGCGACGCAGCGCCGGATCGATGGAGTTGGGCCTGTTGGTGGCCGCCATCACAATCAGATGGGAGCTCTTCTTCATGCCGTCCATCAGGGTCAGCAGCTGGGAGACGATACGACGCTCCACCTCGCCGTGGGTCTTGTCACGCTTGGGGGCGATGGCGTCGATCTCATCAATGAAGATGATGGCTGGCGAGTTCTTCTCGGCTTCCTCGAATGCCTTGCGCAGATTCGACTCCGACTCTCCCGCCAGTTTGGACATGATCTCCGGTCCGTTGATCAGGAAAAAGAATGCACCGGTCTCATTGGCCACGGCGCGTGCAATCAGAGTTTTACCCGTGCCGGGAGGACCGTACATAAGAATGCCTCGTGGCGGCTTCACACCGATGGCCTTGAACAGCGAAGGGTGGCGAAGAGGTAGCTCCACCATCTCCTTGATCTGGGCCAGCTGCTTGCGGCAGCCACCAATGTCATCGTAGCCCACGGCATTGAGTGACTCCTCCTCCTCTTCACGCTTGATCGGATCGCCGTCGCAGAAGATGACAGTCTCAGGGGCCACGATACAGTAGGGCTCGGGATCGGTTAGCACCACCTTGAACTCGATGGGCCGCATGGCGGCACGCACGATGAAGTTATCGCCCATGTGAATGGGGCGGTATGCCTCCAGGAAGTAGGGCTTCAGATAGATCTCGAATAGGTTCCCTGTCACGCCCTCGGTGGTATCGTCAATGGGCAGGATGCGCACGCGCTTGCCATACTTCACATCCGGGCATGACTGTACCGACACCACATCGGACAGATGAACGCACAAGTTGTTGCGCACCACGCGGTTCATGCGGATCTTCTCGTCGGGGCAGGTGTCGTCCGAGAGCACAATGCAGACTGTTTCCTTGCGCCGCTTGCCCTTCAGGATGACAGTATCGCCTCGGAAGAGCTGCAGCTCGTCCATCTTCGCCTGAAATGGGAGAGCCCAGCTTTTGAGTATCACCACCATTTTATGACGTGGCCTTTGCAAGGGTATAAAATCTTACCTGCGATAGCGACACCACCGAGTTGTCATCGTTCTGGGCCTCCTCCACAATCAGACGGTTCGGACGGTCCTTACGCTTCAGGATGGCCGTTGCCAGATCATCACTGTGGGTAAACGGACAAGGCATTGGGTTAGACTTAACCAATGGTATAGGGATCCTAGATCGAACCGCTTCTCAACCGAAGATTGCGGCTTCATCTTCTCATCCTGCTCGCTGCGATAGCCGCGAATAAAGTCCCGCGTGTCCCTACCCTCATCTATTTGGTCGTCTGGAGTGTTATCGGGCATGTTGCTGCTGCTCTGCCTTCTGGGGGTTCCCCTTTTTTTATTACGGTCTAGAGAGTTTATAAAGTTTCCAAAGAAACTGTTTGCGAAGCAAAGCTAATACATGGAACTAAAGTGCACCACCAAATCTGGCTTTAAGGCGTATTTCTGACAGCCTTCCTTGATATAGGTTTTCGAAATTATTACAATTTGTTTTTTTCAGTCTTTTGTCGATGGTTTTATAAAACTACAATGAAACAGGCAGTTCAAAAGGTGAAAGTTAACTGAGATTCACCTAGACAACATACATATACTATTATGAATATATATTTTTTAGAAAAAAATAAGAAAAAAATAAAAAAAAAACAAAAACTAAGAAACCAATTATTTTTGGCCGTTTGGCGCCTCCTCGTGAAACCAGTTTTTTTCTATTTATTTACTTTAAAAATCTATGTAATTTCATAACCATATGTAACGTATTTCTCCCTAAATTTAAATTATAATTTTCTATAATGAAAACATTCTGATAAAAAAAAATATGATTTATATCAACGCACTAAAAATCGTGGCAACATATTTAGATTATTCTAGAAGTAATGCAATTTCAAGAGAACTGTACTATCTAAAAAAAACCTATTCTTATTTAAAATATGTAACATTTTAAACGTAAATTAAACAGTTCTGCTCAGAACAAGCACATTTTTCACTGGTCTAGTCTAGGTAGTCCATAGTTACGTTTTCGTAAAAAAGAGGAAAGGTACTAAACATTAGAAAATAATTACAACTGCACCAGAAGATACACCTTTCTCCCTCTCAATTAATGGATACGCACTATTTTTCGGGACAACAAAGAAAAACCCTAAGTTTTTTCAAGTAGCAGCGACAACAACAACTGCAAGGGCATTAACCAGCAGCAGCAGCAGCGGCAACAACAAGAACAACCACATCAGCCGACTGCAAATGGCGATTTTCTTCAGGGTTTTTTTTTTGGGGTTTTAGATTTGCCCTAGTTTCACAACGCAGAGCAACTCTGCTATGCAAAAGTCGCGGAAAAAGCGGAAGTTTCCTGGAAAATCATCAGGAAAACCAGCGCGGAACAGTGACTAGATTGCGATGTGGCCCTTGCGTATTTTTTCAGACCGAGATGACTACGCGAAATTGTACTGGACTGGTTGAAATTCGGTTTGGAGCGCCAGTTTCGGCGCCCTTTTGGGGCGCAAATACACTTACCCCTTGGGATCTGCCATGGTTAACTAGTTGAGCTTGAACTTTTTAACTTAATGCAGGAAATCGGCGCTGCGGGGACAATACGGTTGAGCTGGAAATCGGCGAAATCGGACCCAGTACTTTTAATCAAATCACAAAATGATGAGGCAGCTTCTGCTAGAGATGAGATACAGCCGATAGACCGCCAGTATGACTAGAGGTGGACCTTTAAACGATACTATGTATCGATACATCTTCTTAAGTCGCATTTCCACTATGCATGAAATCGTTTCATGTAAATGAAGTTGTAAAGGCAGGGCAATGTAGCATTGTAGATTTTATTCCTTGTGTTCGTGAACTTTCTCCGCTAACTATTCCAAAGTAAAAATTTAATGGAAAGCAGTTAGTGATGAAAATCGGTCGTTGCAATATCGTGTAATCGAAACAGTGAGAACAGCTGGATTTGTCGTGCTTACTCGTTATCGACACGTAAACGATAGTCAGTGTTACGTTTGACATTTCTACGCAACGTAAACATTTCGCGGCGGGAAAGCGAAATTTTAAAAATATACATCCATCCACTGATTCAAGGAAGAATCTTTATTCCACGCTTTGTGCAATACGCTTATATAAATACATATACATTGAATACAAAATATCTTTGCTCCTCTCTCTCTCTGTTTGTGTGTGTGTTTGTAAAACATGTTGCAAAATTTGTTTGGTTAGCACAAAGATTCATAAATATATAAAGGATATTAAATATGTAAACAAATGTTAAATGCGTTCGATTTCAATTGTTTTGAAGTATTCGATCGTTCAAGATTGCGTTTGTTTTTGCATTTTGTTTTTCTTTTGTTTTGGAGAGTATATAATTGTGTTTGTTTTGGATTTTCTTGTTCGTTTTTGGTTCTTTTTTTAGCCAGCATGCACAGACTGAAAGGAAGAAAAAAGGAAACGTAAAGTGAATCGAAATCAGGGAATCAATATCGTAAATCAAGGCTCAAATCAAACAAAGGAAGCCAACAAAATCCGCGTCCTCCTGTCTACCAAGTCTTTTGATTGCCATTTGTTTTTGGTTTTGTTTGGTTTTAGTGTCACCTCTTCCGTTCGTTTCCCTTCGGATTTATCCTCGCTTTATTCTCGACGAGCCTCGAAGTTAGATAAATTCAGAATTGGAACGTACCCGAGCAATGTCCACGCCGGTAATGTTCTTGACCAGCTCTGGCACTTTGTTGACGATCTGCAAGATCTCGCCGGTCAGCTTGGCGGCACCAATCTCGCCCTGTCCGCTGGACACCATCGTAATCTTCTTGGCCTGCGACAGCGGAGCAGCAACCTCGGCTGCCACCTACGCAAATGGATGAATTTTTGTTTTAATAAAGGGATTTCAGTTATATCTAAATATTTTAATTCAAATCTCACCTTGGGCAACGTGTCCAGCAGCATCTCCACCATTGCAGCCTCGCGGTACTCACGCCAGGCCTCTGCCTTCTGGGCCATTTGCTCGGCCTCGGCCTTGGCCTTGGCCGAAATGGCAAAAGCCTCGGCCTCGCCGCGGATCTTGATCTGGAAAGAGAGCAGGATCAGGCTCAGCAAACTCCGTTTGAATGTCACTAACTAAAATCTTACAGATTCAGCTTCGGCCTCGGCTTCCATGACAACACGTTGCTTGTTGGCCTCCGCCAACTTCTCCAGACGGAACTTCTCGGCCTCGGCGGGACGACGGACAGTGGCCTCTAGCTCCCGCTCGCGACGCTGGATTTCTTGCTCCTGCACGGCAATCTCCTGGGTGCGCTCAATCACCTTGACCTGCATCTGCTCCTCCTTGATGCGCTGCTTGGTCTTGGCGGCCTGCAGCTCGTATGCCATCTCTGCCTCGGCCTTTTTGGTTTGTACCTCCACGTCGTAGGCGGCCTTCTTCAGCTCAAAGTCTCGCTGGGCCTTGGCTATGTCGGTGTCGTTGAGGAACCTGGCGGCCATGCGCTGCTCCTCGGCAATGGCCTCCTTGATGTGTGCCTCGGCACGGGCCTCAGCCTCGCCAATGCGGGCATCTCGCTTCACCTCCGCCGTGCGAGCCATGCCCAGAGACTTGAGATAGCCCTAGAAAAGGAGATGCAGAGGGTGCTATTAATATACCTTTCATGATAGAGATGACAGTGGACGGGGCACAGATCCCAGAGATTTCACACACAGGCGGTTAAGCGGACATACGCACCTTTGAGTCGCCCTTTTAGTGGATCCATGTTGACATGCAAGAAATATATATATACATGTACATATATACATACACAAGAGGTTACTCGGAAAACAGGTGGCTCAGAGCCAAAAAAAAAAAGAAAGAACAGTGATGGGAAATTCTACAATCTAAGTTCAGAGTTCAAAATTTTTAAGATAATATCTGATTAATTATTGCTCTTTTAATTTGTACATTATTTAAATGTGCATTTTCCCAATCCATGCTAAAAATAATGTTCATATCTTGTACTAACTTCGGGATGCCGAAGCTTATATACTCTTGAAATCAATAATAAGCAATATCCATTCTTTAAATTAATATTTATTTTAACAAATAAAAGTAAAAAAAACTCAAAACTACGCCAAAACATCATTCATTTTTTATTCTGAATGCGTTTCTATGTTAGTTTGTATTAGTGTAATAAATCTGCATACTCAATTTAAAAAAATTAAGAATTTTTGTCGATTTTTGAAAATTTTAACGATGTAACCCCTTATTTTATCTTATCCTTATGTTTTTTTTTCAACCAGACATAGCTAGATTGGCTCAGCTGTTGATGCTGATCAAGAATATATATGATTTATAGGGTCGGAAATGTCTCCTTCACTGCTTTGCATGCTTCTGACTAAAATTATAATGCACTGCGACGGTATAACTATCCTGACTCTAATTTTACCGAAGATATTGAAAAGAAATGCAATCATAAATCACTTCCCATCACTGCTGATGAATGGGTTAGTTGTGCAGGGTTTTATAAAAATAATAATTCCGATTTGACTACGCACCTCCTCATCGCGCAGATCCTTGATGGTATAGGATACGACCGTAATACCCATATTGGCCAGATCACTGGAGGCCACCTCGAACACCTGCTTGCTGAACTTCTTGCGGTCCTTGTAGATCTCCTCGACGGTCATCGAACCCATGATGGCGCGCTGGTGTCCCTCGAGCGTAACCAGGGCAATGTGGTTGATCTCCGCCTCCGTCTTGCCCAGAAACTGTTCACAGGCGGTCAGCAGCATGTCCTCGTTCTGGCCCTGAACCTTGACCTGAGCGATGCCGGTCACGGAAATGGGAACACCCTGGCTGGTGTACACACAAGGACTCTCCACCTGTAGGGTCATGGTGTTGAGCGAAATTCTGCAAGGGATTTGTCATAATTAAAACTCTGAAGATTCACTAAATGCGTGTCTACTCACCGCTGCACTTGCTGGATGGAAGGCCATACAAAGGCCCGGCCTCCGGGCACCAAGAGCGGCTTCATGTAGCAGCATCCTACAGGAAAAACAGACGAAAAATAGTTTGTTTACAAAACATTGAAGCATTTCGATTACAGCATCACAACGCCGTTTGATGCGCGCGCACGGCTTCGAAGTGCTGTTGCGGCGTCTTCCTCTTCTTCTTCCCACCCCACAATTGCTGTACACAAAAATCGATAATCAGTGACGTCACTCGGGGTGGGGTGCAAAAGCACCTATTTTTACTTATTTAGATCTTTAATTAAACCCATTTGGGCTGTGTTTTGGTGAGAAAAAAGATTAGCTGCCTTACCGGAGACAACCAAGGCCTCGTTGGGGCCACAGGTCACAAATCCCCAGGTCATTTTCGGTGCGTTTTTTCCGAGCTTCTTCTAACTGTTTTACTTGTACTTTTGTTTGTTTGCTGATAACAGCCTGTTGTAATTAACTGGATTTCGCTTAATGAAATCACTTATAGCGAACGATCCACAGGTCGCCAAATTGCACTCGCTTATCGCACTTTATTTATATATAAATATATATAGAACCCGACACGCACTAGGAACAACCGGTCCGCACAAAATTCCAAGCACTTTAAAAAAGCTCTCGCATTAATCCAAAGAGCGTGTGTGCGCAGTACGACTTTAACCCTTAAGCGGTGACGTTAGTTAGAAGCGACCCTGGGAAAGTATCATCATGTTCCGTCAAGAAAATTCTGTAAGTATAGTTTTTAATTTATTAAGCATACGAAATATAGGTAAAATCAAAATTTTAGGTCTTAAGCTATATGTTTCTAATTATAAATCTACAATTGAAAAGCATTATCATTTAAGAAATAGTGAGGTGATTGTTATCTCGTTACGAGTCAGAATAAAAAAAAACACACATATACTTTCAGTAGATTTAATTACGAATAAACTTGTAAAATAAATTGAACAACAAAAAAATATAACAATACTTAAAAATTAACAAAGGAGTTTTATAAATATTTTTAAAATTGTTTGTTTTCTTTTTTTGTTTTGGATTAAATCAGTTTTTAAACGCAATTTTGGCATTGTAGAATGCCACATAACATCCCAAGATCTTAAACAAAGGCTTTCAGTGGCTCAAGAACTCTAGTTCTAAGATACTTTCAGCTTTAGCCATAAATGTGGCACCTAGACTTGAAAATTAACTGATCCAGATTTTTAGTGCCTTAAAAACAAATGACAAGAGTAGGAAAATAAGATACGTAGGAATTTTCACTCAATCCATCATCTACTGCAGGGACATAAGACAGAGACACGGGACATTCTTAGATAGACGGGCTTCTGGGAATTTTGCTTAATTCTAATCAAAGTACATGGAAACAGTCGCTCGGGGATTGGCGCCAACCCCATCTAAACTCCATCTCAGTGACCTGAGGAGGCGCTTTCCGTAAAAAAGGGATGCTGCATGGCTGCCTCTGCGCTGATTCGTTGATTTGGCCGGCAGACGAGCAGCTTTTGGAGCAAGTCACGCCCTTTGGAGTTCAGCCTAGGTACCAACTGGCTCCATGACGTGATGGCCGGAAAAGCTGACACAGAAAGACTTAGATTATCATTTAAACAAGAATCATTCATGGGTAATCTTACATGGAAGCGCTACGTAATCGGAGAGGTGCGAGACACCGGGCCAGGAGTCTTCGTTGGGTGTGCCCAGCACTCGGAATATCTTCATCAGTTGGTCAAGAACATCGGAGCCGGGAAACAACGGTCGTCCGGCGTCAGCCAGCTCCGCCAGAATGCATCCGGCTGACCACATATCGATGCTGGTAGTGTATAGCTTGGCTCCAAACAGGACGTCGGGTGGTCGGTACCAAAGAGTCACTACTTCTGCGGAATAGCACTTGACAGGAATGCCGAAGGCACGGGCCAGACCAAAATCAGCTAGTTTTAGTTCGCCGTTCTTATTGATTAGCAGGTTCTGTGGCTTCAGGTCGCGGTGGAGGACATTGTGGCTAAACAAGTAGTTGAAATGTGATTCAAATGATTCATCAGCAGCCGTAAAAGTATATATTTCGTAACCTGTGGCAGAAGGCTAATCCACGGAGCAGCTGCAGCATGAAACTCCGACATACGGCCATGTCAATCTCTCCGTTTAGACTGTCAAAGTACTTCTTCAGATCCTGGTCGCAGTGCTCAAAGACCAGGGTTAGCTTCTTGTCCGAGTGCAGGACGTCCGTCAGGCGCACGATATTCTTGTGCTTCAGTTCCTGCGAATTAAAAAAGCGTGTGGTTCTACGTGCTCTTGGTGGTAGCTTCGGTGACTCACCTTTAGCAGGCAGATCTCCCGGAGAGCAGAGCTGGGCACTCCTTCATCATCCTCGTCCAGGCGCACTCGCTTCAGCGCCACAATCTCCATGGTGTCCCTGTTGCGGCCCTTGAACACCGTGCCGTAGGTGCCTTCGCCAATCTTCTCCATCTTGTCGTACTTCTGCATTGCAGCTTAAAGAACTGCATAATACAATGATTAATAGTATAATTAAACAGCCCCGTTAGCCAGGACATACTATTTATGATGCGGGTCACCAAAAAACTTTAATACTCGAGGGAGGAAAGTATTTTGTAGTTCTTTATATATTTTTATACACTTTATTCAGTTTGCAGTTTGTTTTGCTGGCCGCCAGTGTGATAGTGTTGGCAAAACATCGGAGACACTATTTTTTGCCAGCTTTACAATGTGACCGCAGTATATACAAAAATATAAGGGTGGGAAGGCGGTGTTTTCAAAAGTTGTGAAAAGGGAGAAGCAAATGGATAATGTAATTGTTATAATTTCAAACTTTATACTTTTGTTTTTGCAAATAACTAGGATGATAAGACGGATTTGTTATGCCTACCAGACGATGACGAAATATTTTCTTACGAAGCATTTTCTATATATTTTGAATAAACAATGACAATATAATAATAATCCCAATGTAGTTCAGATTATTAATATTTTGTCTATACCATATACAAGTATAAAATTCACCGAGTCTATAAAACTTGTTATAAAATTATCGTTTTAAATAAAACTAACTGCTACGATACTAATACTAATAAATCACCATATATTAGAAGATATTCTGTTTGCACTTGATTGCAGAATGCCCAATCGGATTTTGTCCGCCTGCCAGACGATGTTCTCATCCTTATTTTAGGACAGCTGGACTTGACCACTCAGCTGGAGATGACTCATGTCCACATCCGCTTTTTGATGCTGATGCCCCTAGTTTGGCGGTCACAGTGCAGATCCACGACTCTCTCTCTGATCGAATTACATCTCAGTGACAAGGACCTCCGTTTCTTTCTGGGCAGCAATCGGGAAACATTTCAAATGTTGCGGTTAAAGATGGAAAAGCGAGTGAATTTCGATATTCTAACGAGTTACATATTTCCAAATATCCACGATTTCCGCTTCTCAACGTGTATGTTTTGGCTGAACGATTCTGATATACCGCGCATTATTAGGGCTTTTCCAAATTTAAGAACTTTCAGTCCCTATGGATCATTCACTGGCCAATACATGCAAGATTTTACCAGCCTGGAGAACCTTACAGTCTCCTACTGCAGGACTTTCAAGATGGCCAACTTGATTCCCATCCTGGAAACCAGGAAGCTAAAGGGCTTGAAATTGGGCATGTTCGACGACGAGCATTTGAAGACAACGAAATTGCCATTGGAAGGAATAAGACATCTGGAGGTCCTACAGTGCGATACCGAGGAAATGGCTAGATGGTTCCTAGAGCATATGGAGCATCTAACAAAACTGAAGAAACTGTTCTTCTGCGGCCCTATTAGCTGGCATGTTGTCAGACGTGTCCTGAACTCAAGCAACCGAAAAAATATCAAGTGTCTTCAGATAAACACAAGCGGAGCGGACCTGTTTAATTTTTTTCCTAGCCTGACGGTTCAGATTCACACTCTACAAATGGCCAATGCGGTTATTCCACTCAATAAGATGCCCAACACAACAGTTAACTTAAACATCAATCAAATTTACTTAAAAAGGTGCGACATTTCCGAACAAGAGTACTTTGATAAATTACTGAAAGATTTAAAGACACTTGAGATCCTTGGACTTGATGGTTGCATATTTTGCTTTGGGGCCTATACGTTTTCAGTGAAGGAGATTGTCAGAAATCGCGGCACTGCGCTTCATGTGCATTTGAATCAAAACCTCTACCTGGATTCTACGGATATAATAGATAAGGTAAAATAAGATTTTCCACATTTTTAATGACAGACTCTAACAAAAGTTTTCTTGTAGACATTGCCAATGCTATGGAATGTGGAGGGTGAACATAGTTTATTCAAGCTGCACGAGGGGACCTTAAACATCACCTACGGCTGTGAAAATGTAGCCATTTATTTTGAATAAGTTTTCTTAGTAAAGAATTAAATTAGAAATTCTCGATGCAAAGAATATTTGTATTACAATTCAATATAAGTCTTGTGCGTGTGAATGCGCAGACAGGAAAATTCAAAAAGGAAGTCAATCGATCAAACGTTCCAAAGGGTAAAGTTCCTTGAAACTATAAGGACAAGTGGAAGAGTCACTATAGGAATCCGATCTGATTTGAATACAAATTTAATGTAAAGCTGAATTTATTAAAAATTAAAAAAGATCACCTTGGGAAACTTCACGAGCACAGCTTCATCTCGGATCGTTCCTCATCCGTCATTGGCTCCACAACCTGGAGACAGGCATTGGCGAACTCCACGAACAGGGGCTCTTGCATGGCCACCCTCATGGCTGTCTGGGCATTAATAGCCACGTCGATCTGATGGAGTAGTGAGCGCAGGTGTGGATTATGGAGCAAATTGCGTAGTTCCTGGCAGGTTTCTGTAAGAGATTTATACATACAGAAAAAGTAATTTAAATGCTGGAACACACTTACCTAGTTGCTGCATCTTCTCTGCGGGAACAGTGTCATCTGTTGTAAAGGGCTCATGCAAGGTCGGTTCCTCAGGAATAACATTTACCGGCTTTTCCTTGGCCACATCTCTAGTCACACATTCGGGCGAATCCCTGTGAACCTTGTAACAGGTCACAGAACAGCTAGAATTGTGAAATAACGTAATTCAGAGCATCAAGAGAACAAGATCAACTTACTAGGGCGCCGAGCACTTGCTACACTTGTATTTTCGTGGCTTTTCCGCACAGCTTACACAGTTTTCCATTTCGTACAAACAATAAACAAAAAACTCGCGTGGAAATTAAACAACAGCTGATCGAGTGTTACAGCTGCTATTTTTTGACAGCCCTCTAAGTTCTAGGCCGTTATGGCGAACAAGCAACGCCGTTGGAAAATAAACAGTTGGTCGAGTGTTACACCTGCTAGCTCTTGTCAGCTCTCTCAGTTCTAGGCCGTTATGGCAAATAAGCAACGCCGTTGGAAATAAAACAGCTGATCGAGTGTTACAGCTACTGGCTTTTGTCAGCTCTCTAAGTCCTAGGCCGTTATGGCAACTAAGCAACGGCGTTGGAAAATAAACAGCTGGTCGAGTGTTACACATTTAAGCTCCGGTCAGTTCTTAACCAGCTGATCGAGTATAACAGCTGCTAGCTCTTGTCAGCTCTGAACGTTCTAGGCCGTTATGGCAAATCAGCAACGGCTTTGGATATTAAACAGCTGATCAATTGTTACAACTGCTGGCTTTTGTCAGCTATCCAAGTTTTAGCCCGCTAGGGAAAAACAGCAACAGCGTTGGAAATAAACATCTGGTCAAGTGAGCCAGCTGCCAGCTCTTGTCATCTGTAAAATCTCTGAAGCCGTTATGGCAAATCAGCAACGCCGTTGGAAAATAAAAAGATGGACGAGTGTTACAGCTGCTAGCTCTTGTCAGCTACTTGAGTTCTAGGCCGCAGCAGAAAATCAGCAAAGCCGTTTGAACATGGCGGTAAAATCAAAATTAAATACCAGGCGAAAAAAAATATAAAAAAGATTTTTGTGTTTAGTACGCACTAAGTGGGGGAAACATTTAATATTTGTGCTTGGTAATTGCGAATGAATTTATTGAAATTTTCGTAACTTTCAGTTATTAGTTATAGTTTGTTACCATTGCAGGGTATTATGATTTTGGTATGTGAATGAAGGAACAATGTACATTAAGTAACTATGATCAGAAAATAACTATGCTCAGTAATTAACTATGAGCAGTTAGTAACTATGATCACCAAGTATATATGACCAGTAAATATGTATGATCAGTTACTAAATTTGAACACTAATAAACAATGACTTGCAACTTTTTTAACACAACACAGTCACTTCGTTCCGGATATGTTAGAACAAGTTGGGAATCATATGCACATATGTGAAAGATTTTTTTTTGACCGAAGACCAAATAATTTAAATGAAACTATGGACTTATTCTTAAATATTTTTTTACTACAATATAATTCGGAGCATGGCGAATCGGTAAACTATATATATATACATATATAGCTGCCATAGGAACGATCGGACGATTTATAGAACTATGATCCGTAAGTAACTATGATCAGTAATTAACTATGACCATTAAGTAACTATAAACAGTTATTAAATATGATCAGAAAGAATCAATGAACACTAAGTAACTTTGACCAGTAATTATCTTTGACCAGTAAGTATCTATGACCAGTAAGTATATATGATCAGTTACTAACTTTGATAAATTTTCCAGTTTTTAACAGATTTTCATCAAGTTTTATATATAATTAATCTAGAATTTTTATATATAATTAATCTAGAATTTTGTGTAAAATTTTATGAAAATCGGACTTCTATATCATATAGCTGCCATACGAAAGATCGTTATCTGTTTACAATTCATCTCTAATTTCTTGATTTGTCTAAAGCAAACTGCCCTTTAAATATTCCCACATGAACAGCCTCTTAAATTTCAAGATCATCATGTAACCCCAAAGGAGTTAAATGAGTTGTTACTTACACTCTCTCTGCGGGCTTGGTGGAGTACAAGAAACAAGGCCACGGAGTTAGCATCTGTTTTTGCGGGATTTTATTTACTAGTTGTTGTGATAGGTAACTTTCACTTAACACATATTTTATAATAGCCAAAGGTTGGATTTAAACTCAAATTTAATTAGAAACTTATAGTTTCAAGAAGAAGAACAAAAATAATTGTGTTTGCTACGGTGCTTAAGTACACTGGTTGAGAAGCGCAGAGGAGGGCACTTTTTTGAGAGATAGTGAATGCGAGGAAAGTGTGATTTTTGAGAGAGAGTAAAAGAGAGGCAAACAAAATTTGGTTTTTTGAGAAACGTAGGGAAGGTCTCATTGTTTATTTTTGAATAATGAGAATTTGAGTTAGTAAAAAATATGTGATAAATATAACATGCTGACCCTTGGTTTTTGTTCTTTTTTAAATATCTATAGCCAGTAATTAACTCTGAACCCTAAGTATCTATGAGCATTAAGTAACTATAGTCAGTAAATATCTATGACAACTAACTAACTTTGAACAGTGAGTAACTATGATCAGTAATTATCTTTGACCAGTAAGTATCTATGACCAGTAATTATGTATGATCAGTTACTAACTTTGATAAATTTTCCAGTTTTTAACAGATTTTCATCAAGTTTGATATATAATTAATGTAGAATTTTAATATATAATTAATCTAGAATTTTGTGTAAAAATTTTATGAAAATCGGACTTCTATATCATATAGCTGCCATACAAAAGATCGTTCTCTGTTCATCCCAAATTTCTTGATTTGTCTAAAGCAAACTGCCCTTTAAATATTCCCACATAAACAGCCTCTTAAATCTCAAGATCATCATGTAACCCCAAAGGAGTTAAATGAGTTGTTACTTACACTCTCTCTGCGGGCTTGGTGGAGTACAAGAAACAAGGCCACGGAGTTAGCATCTGTTTTTGCGGGATTTTATTTACTAGTTGTTGTGATAGGAAACTTTCATTTAACACATATTTTATAATAGCCAAAGGTTGGATTTAAACTCAAATTTAATTAGAAACTTATAGTTTCAAGAAGAAGAACAAAAATGATTGTGTTTGCTATGTTGCTTAAGTACACTTGTTGAGAAGCGCAGAGGAGGGCACTTTTTTGAGAGATAGTAAATGCGAGGAAAGTGTTATTTTTGAGAGAGAGTAAAAGAGAGGCAAACAAAATTTGGTTTTTTGAGAAACGTAGGGAAGGTCTCATTGTTTATTTTGGAATAATGAGAATTTGAGTTAGTAAAAAATATGTGATAAATATAACATGCTGACCCTTGGTTTTTGTTCTTTTTTAAATATCTATAACCAGTAATTAACTCTGAATCCTAAATATCTATGAGCATTAAGTAACTATAGTCAGTAAATATCTATGACCAGTAACTAACTCTGAACAGTGAGTAACTATGACCAATAAGTAACTATGATCAGTAATTATCTTTGACCAGTAAGTATCTATGACCAGTAAGTATGTATGATCAGTTACTTACTTTGAACACTTAAAAAAATGACTTGCAACTTTTTTAACACAACACTATTCTGAGACTTGGCCGGCAGCAGTCACTTCGTTCCGGGGATGTTAGAACTAGTTAGGAATCATATGCACAGATGTGCGAGACTTGTTTTGGACCAAAGAGCAAGATATTTAAATGAAACTATGGACTTATTCTTAAATATTTTTTTACTACTATATAATTCGGAGCATGGCGAATCGGTAAACTATATTTATATAAATATATAGCTGCCATAGGAACGATCGGACGATTTATAGAACTATGATCAGTAATTAACCATTACCATTAAGTAACTATGAGCAGGTTTTAAATATGATCAGTAAGTATCAATGAACATTAAGTAACTATGAACAGTAAGTAGCTATGACCAATAAGTAACTATGATCAGTAATTATCTTTGACCAGTAAGTATCTATGACCAGTAAGTATGTATGATCAGTTACTAACTTTTAAAACTTTTCCAGTTTTTAACAGATTTTCATCAAGTTTGATATATAATTAATCTAGAATTTTAATATATAATTAATCTAGAATTTTGTGTAAAATTTTATGAAAATCGGACTTCTATATTATATAGCTGCCATACAAAAGTTCGTTCTCTGTTCATCCCAAATTTCTTGATTTGTCTAAAGCAAACTGCCCTTTAAATATTCCCACATAAACAGCCTCTTAAATCTCAAGATCATCATGTAATCCCAAAGGAGTTAAATGAGTTGTTACTTACACTCTCTCTGCGGGCTTGGTGGAGTACAAGAAACAAGGCCACGGAGTTAGCATCTGTTTTTGCGGGATTTTATTTACTAGTTGTTGTGATAGGTAACTTTCACTTAACACATATTTTATAATAGCCAAAGGTTGGATTTAAACTCAAATTTAATTAGAAACTTATAGTTTCAAGAAGAAGAACAAAAATAATTGTGTTTGCTACGGTGCTTAAGTACACTGGTTGAGAAGCGCAGAGGAGGGCACTTTTTTGAGAGATAGTGAATGCGAGGAAAGTGTGATTTTTGAGAGAGAGTAAAAGAGAGGCAAACAAAATTTGGTTTTTTGAGAAACGTAGGGAAGGTCTCGTTGTTTATTTTTGAATAATGAGAATTTGAGTTAGTGAAAAATATGTGATAAATCCGTAAAAATTAATCAAAAATATAACATACTGACCCTTGGTTTTTGTTCTTTTTTAAATATCTATAACCAGTAATTAACTCTGAACACTAAGTATCTATGAGCATTAAGTAACTATAGTCAGTAAATATCTATGACCAGTAACTAACTCTGAACAGTGAGTAACTATGATCAGTAATTATCTTTGACCAGTAAGTATATATGACCAGTAAGTATGTATGATCAGTTACTAACTTTGAACACTAATAAACAATGACTTGCAACTTTTTTAACACAGCACTATTCTGAGACTTGGACGGCAGCAGTCACTTCGTTCCGGGGATGTTAGAACTAGTTGGGAATCATATGCACAGATGTGCGAGATTTGTTTTGAACCAAAGAGCAAGTTATTTTAATGAAACTATGGACTTATTCTTAAATATTTTTTTACTACTATATAAGTCGGAGCATGGCGAATTGGTGGACTATATATATATATATATATATAGCTGCCATAGGAACGATCGGACGATTTATAGAACTATGATCCGTAAGTAACTATGATCAGTAATTAACTATGACTATTAAGTAACTATGAGCAGTTATTAACAAATGATCTGTAAGTATAAATGAACAGTAAGTAACTTTGACCAGGAAGAATCCATGAAAATCT